CAGGTTCTTTTCTCATGTCCCCTTGTTTCTGAACGCATTCGTGTGAAAGCTACATAGAATAGTAGCTTTGAGGTATTGAGTGCCAAGTTGATATCTCAATGTTTGCCAGTGTTATGAGTACGGATTATTTTTATAGAAATTGAAGTATCAAAATATTAATCGTTGTGAAGATTTCGAATTCATTTTCATGCAAAAGTCCGTGTAGGTCGGGGTAGAATCGAACACTACTTAAACCTGGGAACTGCATTTTTACTATCTTTTGCTATTCACCGAGATTCTGTTGTGAACCGGACGAAAGGTTGTTGTCGCTTCGAATTATGTTACACAAAGTTCATGAGCTTGAAATGCTGTAAAATTAGAAAGTTCATGAGCATGAAAAACTGCACGATCAGAACTTAACTTTGACGATAGGGAACTGCCGCCCTCATGACCGGACTCGTGACAGCTGAACTAAACATGAAAATAAACTTGGGTACAACTCTTGGAGTGAAAAGTTGTAAGAGTCCAATTGATTGCTTTCAAGATTTCCATCTAATGTTGGGTGAAAGATACTTCTTTCACAAGTCCAGAAAATAGTGCAGTTTTTTCGGTTGAGCCGTGCACTTCACTTAATCGAAAATACGTAGAGCAAATGCGTGTGTGACAAAGGATCGCGCCTATTGGCCTGTGGGTTGAGCTCACGGGGCCGTCACACCCTACGGCCCCTCCCCCTCCCCTCCTCCGCAAACTCTCCATTCTTCATGAAGGGTTCTGATAAGTACGCTTAAAAAGAGCAGCTCCCGCGATAAAGAAGTCTCATGGTTAGCTGCTTTCCAATTATGAAACAGCAGCTGATAAGTAATCTCCCAAAGAAGAAAACAGGCAAGAAGCGTTCTCCAGAACAACATAAACAAGATCGCTCCTCACCAGCTCAGCAAATCTCTCTATCAACATTCTCGCAGTAGTTGATATCATCCAGTGCAAAAGAAAGAATACAAAAAGAAAACAACAAAAACGCAGAGGAAAAACTCTGGGAAGGAAAAAGGAATTTTATCAACACGGTGTCTGAATTTGTGATTACGGTAGCGCACCTTGTGCGTCGTGGTTTTGCACCACGAAAATTGCGTCACTCGTTTCACCTCGCGAAATGGGTTGAATTGAATGTATATACCTCCAATGAGTAAACTGTAATGAAGGAGAGCAGAATTATCCAGGGGCATTAGCAATGCCCGCCGCCCCAACTAAGAACAAGTGAGTGGCCTCCGTCGGAGGACATCTAGCAAGTAAAGGCGGTCCGACTGAGGAGGAGTTAGAACTAGCACTTTGAGCGGCTATAGCAGCCTCCACGCTCACAATAGAGTCGCGAAAGGTGAACAGTCTTCTAGCTTGGAGGCTAGACTACTTGCACAGCAAAGGCGACCACGAGCCACTTTGATCGCGGGGGCTGTCTTTAAGGGTCAATTCCAAATACTATTTGCGAAGATTTATCATCTGACATTCCACTGGGGATCATGACCATCATTCTCCAGAATGTTGCTTTCATGAAAAAAGACCACAGATTAGTCAACATGCATCAGCTGCACGCCCTATGGTTTTCATCTAGAGGAATGCCATTTGATTAATAACTGTCTAGGCTTCCTTGTTTTGCACTTTTGGAAGAATGAGCACCAATAAAATGTCGAATCGAACATGAACTGTCGCGTATTGCAGGCGAAAAAGATCCAGGAATACAATCGCGCCGTAGCCCGTCAAGCTGAAGAACGTGAACTTCGCGAACGTCGTGAACGGGTGCGACGTGCGCAGGAGGCTAACCGCAAAGCGCAGGAAGAGCGCGAAGGAGGGGTTATTCGTGAGCAAAGTCTCTATTGTGTTCTGAACTATGACGAGTTGTAGACTGTTGAACGGTCTTTAGTTCACAAACATGTTTTCAGTCAGGAGCTAATGAAGACTTTGGAGGTGCGACACCCACAGGTGGATTGGGTTGAAATCTCTTGACTGACCAGAAGGTTTGCCGAAGCAATGAATGGATTCCTGAGGTAAAAGCTGCCTTTTGGCTCAATCAGGGGGTAAACGAAAGCTGATGCTGGTACTCGGCATGGCGTGTTCTTAATGTCACGTGAATGACATACATGGATCTAACCAGCAGCAGCGATACAATGATGTTTCCTCGTCCTTAGGTGCTATGTGACCGATTTCAGCGCAGTTTCGGTGACGGGAAGAGGGGCCACTTCGCACTTTCGCTGCTTCAGTTCCGATCAGCTAAAGTCTCACACTCTGGTGAAACTGTGAACTCTTGTGAGGCTCTGACGAAGGCTCCCCATGATTGGGCGTTGCACGTTCGATGGAAGTGGCAGAAAATGAAAACAGTGCTCATCTCGCCCGCCCGCCCCCCCCTCACCCAAAACCGCGCCAAAAAGCCGCGACCGAACCTGCACCTAGATCTCGAAAGCAGCTTAGATGACAGGTCACGTAATTATAATATTAAGGAGTAGCGTATCTGTACAACACCCATTCCTCTAGGCCTATATCTGGCCAAGAATCTGTTTATGGTGGTGTGCTTCCTGCACTATTCTCGAAGTTGACAATAAGTTTATTGGATGGTCAACGTTTCGATGAGTTCTCCTCCTTGGAAGCCTGAAAGGATGGAAGTTGACTTATGAGCTGGTCGATCAAATAACTCATATCCCCACAGTGACCTTCGACACCTTCCCACTCATCCAGGAGCGAATAGCGCAGTACCAAAGCCTTCGAACGGAATACGGTCTGGTGAGTCGAAGAGGTACGGGATTCTCATTCCCCTTGTGTTGGAAGGGCGGAAGGGGAGTGAGATGTGCGTCGTACAGATTCCTAATAGGCGATTTGAGAATATTTGGCTGACAGCTGCAGAAAAGACTGCAATCCCTCGCACGCGTCCAAAGTAAGGAGAGCTTATGAAAACGTTAGCAGCATATAATAAAGCCGGCAGCTCGAGAGCAGTTCAGGAAGCGGTTAGCGATACTCACATACCCATGCTGAGATTGCATCGAGCGCGGCTAACAATCGGAGAATTGTTTTTTGACCTTGTAATTGTTATAAGCTGTAAGTCTTGGTCACTGTAAATCGAGGGTTTGCATGAATGAGTGACAAAAGCGAACCGCGAATCTAGGGCGAACCCTTACATAGTATCTGCAGGTTCTAATCACAACCTTGGCAGTTGAACTTATTAAGAAAACCGAATGCGTGGCGCATCCCAAAAAGACGTTCATTTTGTTGTAGGTGATGGCGGCGTTCATGGATATCATGCAGAATCCTCAAAATCTGATGAAACATATGGGTAATCAGAAGGTGATGAAACTGATTGCAAAGATGAAAGGTATGCCGATTTTTAACATCTCATTAAAAATTTGCTGCTAGGACTTGTCCCCCTCCCCCTTGCCAAGGGGAAAAACTACCCCACTCATTTTTTGGAATGAGCATGAACCCACCCCATGCTATTTTTAGAATGCGCAGATTTGTTTTTTCAGACGTGAAGGTTTCAGGCATGAGTGGAATGTTTGGTGGTGCAGGTGCTGCGCCAGGTGGTTGCCCGTCAGGCGCGAAATGCGGAGATACGGGATGTGGAGGTGGTGGTGGAGCAGGAGCTGGTGCTGCTCCAACTGCTCCCCCTCCAAAAGCCCCTGAACCTGACCTCGATTAAGCAGATGTTGTCAGCATGCTGTCTTCTATCGATGTATTCAGAGTGTATTCTCGGTTTAGTGTTGTAACCGGTTGTTTCTCAAATATGTCTAATTGTTCATCATAAAACTTTCTATTCGCTTCATTGTGTAGCGTTTATGCGTTGTTTGTTTAATAAAGCTTTCTTATTCTATCTATTAGTTGCATTAATGGTGCTTTTCCGATATGGTATATCAGAGAAACAGCCATTAAAGACGAGTGGAGTGATGAGTGGATCCCGAGGCTGCATTCATACTTCGCGGCAGCGTATACCAGCGACCATCAGCGTTTCGAGCGTCCGTCAGCGTCAGCGACGAGGAGGT